CTGCCTTACTAACACAACTGCCACCCATCCTCCCTCATTAACATCATAGAGGCAGGTTTACAACCTACAGGAAAATCACACAGTACCAGGAATCAAGGCCTAGCCAAATTGATACACACGTTTTTTGGGGGACATAATTCAAACCATGACACCCACCTTGATGCCTGCATTTAGCATCTGTTCAGTGACTTAATCTAGGTCTCCGCCCCCCCCCCCCATTTGTCACCCCTTTCACACAGTCTTCAGTTTGGCCATTTTCCAAATAGAATAGTTCTTTAGTACAACTCTGTTTCCAATACCTGTGTGACTATTTACAGTTGTTTTGCATGCTTAAGACGGGAAGAAATTGATCCCTTTAACCTGGGAGAGGGTGGGTGAAAGGGTTGGTTTCTTATAAATATGGATTTAGGAAGAGAAATGCTGTGTGTGTGGCTGACACCTACTGCACAAACAGGGACATGGCATGGACACATGCTACTTGTATAAGAGTTAAATAATAAAAATACTGACATGCTCCAATATCCTTTTTGAAATAACTGTCATGGATTGAATCTACCTGTAGTTGTTGAGTCAATTCTGACTCATAGCGACCCTATAGGACAGAGTAGAACTGCTCCATAGGGTTTCCAAGGAGCACCTGGTGGATTCAAACTGCTGACCTTCTGGTTAGCAGTTAAACTCTTAACCACTACGCCACCAGGGTTTCCATGGATTGAATTGTGTCCTCCCAAAATATGTGTCAACTTGGCTAGGCCACGATTCCCAATATTGTGTGATTGTCCACCATTCTGTCATCTGATGTGATTTTCCTATGTGTTGTAAATCCTACCTCTATGGTGTTAATGAAGCAGGATTAGAGGCAGTTATGTTAATGAGCCAGGACTCCATCTGTAAGATTAGGTTGTTTCTTAAGTCAATCTCTTTTGAGATATAAAAGAGAGAAGCAAGCAGAGACAGGGGGGCCTCCTACCACCAAGAATGAAGAACTAGGAAGGGAGCCCATCCTTTGGACCCAGGATCCTTGAGTTGAGAAGCTTGGACTTCTAGCCTCCTAAACTGTGAGACAATGAATTTCTTTGTTAAAGCCATCCACTTGTGGTATTTCTGTTATAGCAGCACTAGATAATTAAGGCAACAGGTAAGAAGCATCTGTTAATGCAAGGGAATAGAGCAAAAAGTTCATTCACTCCATTCCTAATTTTGTTTCTGAACTTAATAGACAAGCGCTTTATTCTTGTTTTTTTGTAACAGAGCTGTGAAGTTTGAGGTCACTCAGAGAGGACTCAAATCTTTCCCTGGAGGAAACTCACAGTCCACACTCCCACTCCATTCTTCCTACACTTACATGCCCAAAGGCAGACGGAAACCTGATTTAAATTAAAGCCAGCATACTTCCCAGGAGCCCTCGCCTAGGGTCAAACAGACAGTGGCTTCCCCAGCCAGTGGCTCTAGGAGACTTTATTTCATTTAAAAATGAAAAGCAGATGAAAATTAGTGAGAGAAAAGGAAGGAAATAAAAAAGAAGAATCAATCAGCTAATAAGCCCTTTTTAGTGTATACTCTGTTTGCCTTTTGGACATATTCATAAGTTCAAAGGAAGTTGTATCTTCTCGGATTTATGCACTCCTGAGAATTTAGATGAAACTACTATAAGCAGAACCCGGTTTGTTATGATGGTCATTTAATTCATGCTCTTCTGGAGATGATGATGAATCCTTACCCTGACACTCGAGACAAAAATTCTAGCATATTAATCCTCTGTCTGCTGCACTTGGCCCGTTCCCATGAAGCCAGCACACCACTGTTGTTTGGTGTTGTCAATTCCGACTCATATGACAGAGTAGAACTACCCCACAGGGTTTCCCAGGCTGTAATCTTTATAGGAGCAGATCACCAACTGGTGGGTTCGAACTGCTGACCTTTCAGTTAGCTGCCTAGTGCTTAACCATTGTTCACCAGGACTCCTTAGCCCAGCACTAGTGGGAAAGAAATAAAGATGCACTCTCTGATTGCAGGCTGTATCTCCTTGACTCCTCTGCTAGGCCC